TGTTGCTTGAAAGGCTTTCGGTTGACTATGGTAAAAAATCGAAGTTGGGTTTCACCATTTATCCTTCCCCTCAGGTTTCAACTGCTGTTGTTGAGCCTTACAACTCTGTGCTTTCGACTCATTCTCTTTTGGAGCACACTGATGTTGCTGTGCTTCTTGATAATGAGGCTATATATGATATCTGCCGCAAATCACTTGACATTGAAAGGCCAACTTATACTAACCTCAACAGGCTCATTTCTCAGGTATGAATCCGGGGAATTTTTATGGTTGATCAATATTAGATCTTTATCTCACGACTCCTCAATTAGTCCATTGATTTTTGTGATGTTACCTTGATATATGCAGGTGATTTCTTCATTGACAGCATCTCTACGATTTGATGGGGCTTTGAATGTTGATGTGAATGAGTTCCAGACTAATTTGGTTCCCTATCCTAGGATCCACTTCATGCTTTCATCATATGCCCCAGTTATCTCTGCTGAAAAGGCCTACCACGAGCAGCTATCTGTTGCTGAAATCACTAACACTGCTTTTGAGCCATCATCTATGATGGTGAAATGTGATCCACGCCATGGAAAATACATGGCTTGTTGTTTGATGTACCGTGGTGATGTTGTCCCAAAGGATGTTAATGCAGCCGTGGCCACTATCAAGACTAAGAGGACTATCCAGTTTGTTGACTGGTGCCCAACAGGATTCAAGTGTGGTATTAATTACCAGCCACCTACAGTTGTGCCCGGTGGTGATTTGGCCAGGGTTCAACGTGCTGTTTGTATGATTTCCAACTCGACTAGTGTGGCAGAAGTTTTCTCAAGAATTGACCACAAGTTTGATCTGATGTATGCTAAGCGTGCTTTTGTGCACTGGTACGTTGGAGAGGGTATGGAGGAAGGTGAATTTTCTGAGGCGAGAGAGGATCTTGCTGCTTTGGAGAAGGACTATGAGGAAGTTGGTGCTGAGTCAGCTGAAGGCGATGAAGATGAGGGTGAAGATTACTAGGTTTCTGGTGTTACTTGTATGATGATGAATCAATCGTTTGGTTGATTGTGTGTGTTTCAATTTGTTTCTGTTAATGTGTTTTCTACATTTCCATTGGCATGCGAGTGTGTTTGTTTTTCGTATGATTTTAATTGTCATGTATGAACTACATTTCCATCAAATGAAGGTGTTCGTTTTTCTTTTATTTGAATTATCAGGTATGAATTTCATTGTAATTGCGCGAGCTGCAAGTGTTTTGCTTCCAGTTCTACAATGCCCATTTTAATTTCACTCTGTTAGTTGAGGTTTTCTTACAAATGGAAAATTCCGCCCTGCTCTTGATTTACAGTTTAAACCGAACTCGAGCCAGTTCTCGATGTTGAGTAATTTGCTATTACAAAGGGATGATGATTTCTATGTGGTTTTCATTCAAATTTTCTCTGGCTATGGCCGTGAGGACGTCACTAGGGACACAGACATTTTTGTGACTGCTGAATCCCAGATCGATAGAACACGTTGATCGGTGTGTTTAGCAATTACAAGTAAACATAACCAAAGTAGACAGATCAACTCCAAGAATTATATCACATTCTCAGCAAATATTACAACTGAGACATTCATTAGTTGAAGGGATCTTAGCCAAAAATGTGTATTCAGTTCAAAAGGTGGGAAAAAGAAAAGAACCGGGACACTAGTCATAAATCCAACTGGTAAAACTTGCACCACCATTTGCTAACCAAAATTGGTGTTGCTGTTTTTTGAAAGAGAAACATGTTCCATAGCAGTGGAGCACTAAAACACCACAAAATTGAATGCTTACTCCTCGTCCTCATCTTCATCACCACCACCAGCTGATTTCTTTGCAGCGGCGTTCTGGTTCTTCGTTGGACTCTCCCATCAAAATTCGAACTCGGAGTTCAAGGCATCAAGAATCGCGATATACGGAGTCTAATTTAGAGATATTAAACTTAATTTACATATGGATACTACTAGGAGTCGGACAACAGAATAATTTTTAATTTTGGTCTGATAAACAAGTCATTATTAAACCAAGTTCTCATAAACATCAGCAACTAAGATTATAAGGCAAATCACATGTGAAGAATTCACCAAAAGGGGGAAAAAGAACGGAGAGAAGGAGGGAGGGGGGGGGGGGGGGG